TGGTCCCTGATCCTTTCTCTTCCATTTGCTTTTTTTTTTTTTTTTTTTCCAGTCAGTCCTAAGGCTTCAACTCTTGGCTGGGCGCTGTCCCTCAGCTCTTCAGCTCAAGGCAAGCACTCTACCACTTGAGACGCAGCACCAATTCCCATTTTCTGAGAGGTTTATTGGAGATACCAGTCTAACGGAGGAGTTTCCTGCCTGGGCTGGCTTTGAACTGTGATTCTCAGATCTCAGCCTCCTGAGTAGCTAGGATGATAGGCATGAGCCACTTACGCCAGGCTTCCATTTGCTACACACACACACACACACACACACACACACACACACACGCGCGCGCGCGCACACACACACACACGCACACACACACGCGCGCACACGCGCACACACACTCACACACACACACACGAACCCAATAAGAGAACTGTGATTCTCAGATCTCAGCCTCCTGAGTAGCTAGGATGATAGGCATGAGCCACTTACGCCAGGCTTCCATTTGCTACACACACACACACACACACACACACACACACACACACACACACACACACACACACACACACACACACACACACACACACACGAACCCAATAAGAGTCTATACCTTTTCATAGTATGCTTGCAACCTGGGGGGTCCAACATTTTCAGCATCTCAATCTAAAATGTGTTTTACTTTTCAAATTTCAACATTTCCATTTTATTCAGTAAACCACTTCATATAAATAAAGGCTTAAAATAACAATAGATAGTACATCACATTGGAAGGCTGAAAATTATAACACAATATAATAGCAATTCAGGTTTGTATTCCTGACTGTGAGTTCACATTTGTTTATCTTGTCCTCTAAATTCTAAGATTCTTAAAGGCAAGATAAATATCTTATAATTATTATGTATCTCTACAGTAAATAGGCAGAGAACCAGGAATATAGCTCACTGATAGAGCACATGCTTAGCATGTGTAAGGTCCTAGACTTGATACTTGTACCAAAGTAAAACAAAAATAGAGAAACTATCCATGTGAAATAATCCCAATCTGTAAGTAAAAGGTGCTTGTGGAAAGTAAGAAATTTACTTTCTCTGATGTGACAATTCAAGTCAACTAACAATATTAAACACAGCAAAGATACAAACAGTGCTATGAAGAAAATGCTTGTATGTTCTACACCCATGGTATAACCTCTGTTTTCATTGTATTTGATTTTAGTGCCCTGTATCTTGTATATATATTTTTTTTCTAATTTGGGGAGGAGAAGGGAAATAACAAAATGCTGAAACAAGGCTACAGGTTGACCCACTGTAACAATGATATGTACAAGACACTACGTTGAAAATTTACAACTGGGGGGGGGTTGTTGGGGGTGTGGAGAGGGAAGGGATAGTAGGGGGAAAACAAAGGAGGGGGTAACAATGCTCAATAGGAAACATACTCATTACCTTACTCATATAACTAACCTCTCTATAGAGCATCTTTACAATAAAAAATACATTTTTTTAAAAAAAAAAGAAAATATTTGTTTTGGACTTAAATACAATTAACTTTAGGATGATACCATAATAAACTACAAAAGGGATAGGATACCAGGTTTTTCCTTCAGCACAGGTCCATAAAGTCAATATTGACTCTTCAATTCTTTTAACCACTTTCTTGGAAGAAATGCTGACAAAAAAATTAAATGAAACACTAAAGTTTTCTAATATATAGTGAGCCTTTGTACATAAGGATATAGGATACAACTGACACAAGAACAATTGAGTATGTCAGTCATGCTTCATGAATTCTTGGAGTAAAAGGAAGCACCTAAAAATATCTGCCAAGCAAAGTTATGAACCAAATTATTTTGCTAGTCACCTTCACATACCTTGTAACATTTGCTATTAGGAGAATGTGTGAGAGATTTCTGTATATAAATATTCAACAAATATTCAAGGAGTGACTACATAATTTGAAGATACAGAATACCTGAAGGAGCTAAACGTAGCAATGAGAAATGTTACGGTAAGTAAAGAAAAAGTAGAGCAAACTAAATAACTGGAACCATAAAGTGTTACATAAAAAATAAAACATGGCTGGGGACTGGTGGCTCATGCTACTGTAATCCTAGCTACTCAGGAGGTTGAGATCTGAGGACCATGGTTCAAAGCCAGCCTCTCAGGAAAGCCTGAGAGACTCTTTTTGCCAATAAACTACTCAGGAAAAGCCGAGAGTAGTGCTGTGGATCAACTGGTCAAGAGCTAACCTGAATAAAGGAAGCATAGAGACAGCACCTAGTCCCAGATTTCAAGGAGAAAAAAACAAACGAAAATGTAGAGCAAAGGGGAGACTAGTATTGATGTTGGCAATCCCAGTACATAGAAGGATTTGAGTTTGAAGCCAGACAAAGAAAAGTAATTTTTTTTGAGCAAAGAAGAAAAAGAACTAAGCAAACCAAAGGCAGCGAGGGGAAGGGAGGAATGAGGGGAAAGAGGGAACAGCCTACCCTAAGCAAAAGGAAAGAAATGTAATCATCACCTGATGTGGAAAAAATAATTGTTAATAATTATTGTCAAAGCTCATAGAATTCACAAACTTTATAGATCATGATAATGACAATTTGCCTTGTGAAGGTTAAAATGTGATTGTGACTTTAAATATCACTATTCCACAATTTTGTGAAATATGTGAAATTTATGTAATCACCTAATCTCAATTTTGAAAAAAAAGTGAGAGAAGGGATGGGTTAGGAGGGATGAGTGACAATGTTGTCACCTTGTATTCACATACTGTTTTGTAGAATGGGAACTTCTTTGTACAACTAAAGATATAATAAATTAAAGATACAATAAATTAAAAATATATATATATAAAAAGAGGGCTGGGAAGGTGGCTCAGTGGTAGAATTCTTGCCTAGCATGCATGGGCCCTGGGTTCGATTCCTCAGTACCACATAAGCAGAAAAAAAGATGGAAGTGGTGCTGAGGCTCAAGTGGTAGGGTGTTAGCCTTGAGCTGAAGAGCTGAGGGACAGTGCCCAGGCCCAGAGTTCAGGCCCCATGACTGACACACACAAAAAAAAAAAAAACCTGAGCAAAGAACAGGGTAAACTTTTGAGACAGGGTTGAGCCAGTGCAAGGTTTGGAACATAGGCTGCCCAAGCCTCATCCTTCCCATTCTGGATTAAAACCAAGAGCCACTGCCCCAAGCTCAGAGGAAGCTCTTTTACATAAATTTCACCATTGATTTTTTTTTAAGGGCAAGTAATGTCACAACTTTATAAGTGAGAGCTTAAAAGAGTTTCCTGACTGCTTCCACAACAGGAGTTTCTTTGTTTCAGTACAAGTCCAAAGTGTTTCTAATTCCTGGAAGCTTCAAGGTCATTTTCTGTATACAGTTATGACTATTCAATTTTTTAAACTTCTACTCAGTTGTATGTATTCTCATAATAAAGGCACCATAAATTTCAAGCTCTTAGTCGCATTTCTGAAGCCTAGAGAAAATGAGTTAAGATTAAAATGTCTAGGTTCAAATTCAGGATTGTTTAAATATAAGCCTACCATGGGTTGGGAAGATGGCTTAGTGGTACAGTGCTTGTCAAGCAGGCATGAAGCCCTGGGTTCGATTCCTCAGTACCACATATACAGAAAAAGCCAGAAGAGGCGCTGTGGTTCAAGTGGTAGAGTGCAGAGTGCTAGCCTTGACCTAGCGCCCAGGCCCTGAGTTCAAACCTCAGTACTGGCAAAAAATAAATATAAGCCTACCCAAATCAAACTTTAAAAAGAGAAAGAAAATTGAGGGCTTCTAACTATTACTATAAATAGTACTTAAAATGAACTCTAACTTTATACAAAAAAGGCGTATTTTGGTTATATGCTTTTCCAATTCGCATTATTGGGTAAAAAATTAGGATCTGGTGACAATCTTGAAAGGGATGAAACTGATGGAGATATATTGTATTCATAAGCTGCTTTGTTAAATGGCAACACCTTAGTGTTACCCTTTAAAGATAATTTTTAAAAATTATAAGCTGGCTAGGTGGCACAACTATAATCCTAACTAACTCAGGAGGCTGAGACCTGAGAATCTCGGTTTGAAGCCCAGGCAGGAAAGTCCAAGAGACTCCAACTAAGCCACAAAAAAAAGCTGGAAGGGGAGCTGTGGCTCAAGTAGCAGAGCACCTGGTAAGACAAAGCCAACAACAGACTGCATCCAGGCTCTGAGTCCAAGCACCAGAACCTGCACTTCCTCCTGCCCCCCCCCAGCAAAAAAAAAAAAATCTGTTCATGGTAACTTTGGGGGGAGGGGGGGCGCAGCCTGAGGCTTGAACTCTGGGCTTGGGCGCTGGAGGTGAGAGTCTCACAGCCTTTCCTGCCTGGGCTGGCTTTGAACCACGATCCTCCGACCTCAGCCTCCTGAGGAGCTAGGATTCCAGGCCTAACGCCCCTGGTGCCTGGCTTCATGGTAACTTTTTAAGGAGTCACTGTGGATACACATATTTTGTGGGGGGCTTCTGAAAACTCTCTAGTAGTGACTGTCCATTCTTCAGGGCACATTGCGTGGGAACCCTTCCTCTCAATCTTCTGGAGTCACAGTCTCCCCTCAGCGCTACTCCCACTCCCGACCCCAAAATACTCTCCTCATCCTAAAAATAAAACTTAAAAGAAAAAAAAAGGCTTTCTCAATGTTTGGCTCCATTCACGACCAGCGCGTGTTCAAAACCCGCCTCGGGGCGTCCCGGCCAGCCCGGCCCAACTCCGGCGGCGGTGCTGGGGGAGGGGGAGGGCTGGGACCGCTGCACCCCAAGTGTCGTCGTCACGCCGCTCCCGGAGTCGTAGGACACACCCGCACCCCGATGCCCACCGCAACCCTCACGGCCCGGCTGACCCCAACCCGCCGCGGGCAGCGACCCCGCCCCATCCGACGTGCGACCCCGACGCGGGAGGCCGGCGCCGCGGCTCCGGGGCCTGCGCTCCCCCGCCTCACACCCCAGCCCCGCCCCGGCACCCCGAGCCCGTCTTCCTCCTCACTTCTTCAGGTCGCTGCTAAAGAGGCCGAAGGCGCCGGCGGGTGAAATGGTGGAGGTCGCCTCCTGCCCCAGCTCCGCCGCCTCCCCTCCTCCGGACTGCTCATTGTAAGCGAAACTGTTGCTGGACATTGCCGCGGTGCCGGCGGGGGTCGCGTTGGTCCTGCCGAGGGTTCTCTCCGAGGGGTTCCTATCCCGAGGACCTTTCCCCCTACCCGCCCGAACAAAACTAGTTCGGGAGCCGACGGCCGCGCGCGCAGGCGCTTCCGGGCTCGTCACGGCTCCCGGAGCCGGCCTAGCGGCCCGCCCACCACGCATGCCCAGTGCGCCGGCTGACTAAGCCGCTCCCGCTCCTCCTGGATCATCCTTCTCCGGGTGCTAGAAGCAGCCGGGAGACTGGACCTAGGAATCCAGGTAGGCGGGCCGCGGGCCGGCTACCCGCCGGGCTTGCACCCCTGTGGCTGATCTTACCAGACGGAGATTCCAGGTCCTGCTCGGCCCTCGCTGCACTTCTGCTGGAAACCAATAGCGTTCCGATTCCTCGTGAGCACGCCATTGAACACGCCAGATTAACTTCCCTAAACCGATCGCTGCCACTTTTCCTTTTGCTCTGGTCTCTGGCTCCTGTTATTCTAGACTTTAAGGAGTCCATCTCCCGACAGTGGTTTTTAGTAACCTCAGAGAAGAGAACCTGTCTGTGAAATCTTTGAATGAGAATCCCGAGGTAAGCAGCTAGCTCCAGTTTGGAACCGAGGGGGAAGCTCCTGGAGCAGTCCCTTATTACAGTGACACCTTTTGCTCCATTATTTGGCCATCGAATGCATAGGAAGCCCAGATGGGATGTTGGCTGACCCCTGAGCAGCCATCTTTCCTGGGACTGGCACTAGACAAAGTAGAATTCCAGGTGTCCCTTCCCTCATAGGGACAGCCTGAGCCTCTGATCTAGGTAGTACCTGGAAACCAGGTACTGAAACTGTCTAGGGGCTACCAGGGTAGCCCTAGTAAAACGCAGACCTGGAGTCCAGACCACCTGGAGAAGGGCTGTGGGTGTTCCTGGATCACCTTGGTCCTGGACTCCAAAGAAAGCCACACTAGAGAGAGAAGGGAGCTTTGTACTTTAGCTGAAGCTTGGGAAGTTTTTAATTCGCTTGTTAAAATACCCACCACAAGACACAGTGTCAGAGCACCTAAAATATGTGGTTTGTCAATTTTGATGATATTGCTCCTGCCCATAATCCTGGCCACATAGGAGGCTGAGATCTGAGGATCATTCAAAGCCAACCTAGGATAAGAGTTCTTATCCCCGATTAGCCAATAAAAAGCTGGAAAAGGAGGTGTGTGTGGCTCAAATATTAAAGCCACTAGCCTTTTTTTTTTTCCAGTCATGGGGCTTGAACTCAGGGCCTAGACACTGTCTCTGAGCTTCTTTTGCTCAAGGCTAGCACTCTACCACTTGAGCCACAGAACCACTTCCAGCTTTTTCTGTTATGTATGTGGTACTGAAAAATGGAACACAGACCTTCATATGTGCTAGGCAAGTATGTGCTCTCTCACCAAGGGACATTCCCAGCTGCATAGAAAGCTAGTCTTAAAGGAAAAAGCATTCAGGTCCTGAGTTGAAGCTCCAGGATACAGTACACACACACACACACACACAGATACAGTACACACACACACACACACACACACACACCCAAAGAGACAGACAGACAGAGAAGTGGTAGAGTGCTCGCCTTGAGCTGAAGAGCTGAAGGACAGCGCTCCAGGATACAGTATACACACACACACACACACACACACACACACAAAGAGACAGACAGACAGACAGAGAAGTGGTAGAGTGCTCACCTTGAGCTGAAGAGCTGAAGGACAGCGCCCAGGCCCAGAGTTCAAGACCCACGACCGACAAAAAAAAAAAAAAAGTTAGTGAGACTTTCATCTCATCCCATAAAGTAGATGTGATGGCACATTCCTGTCCTCCCAGCTAAGTAGGAGGAAACAGGAAACCTTACAGGGAAAATAACTAAAGCTTAAAAGCAAAATGTTACCAGGAAAAACAACTGAAGCCAAAAAGACTTGGGGACATGACTATTTCTTGGAGGTATACTATATCAATATGTGCAAAACTTACTGGTTTTTTTCACAGCTGCATCATATTTCCACTTATGGCTCTGCCCAAATTTATTAATTAATATGCCACCTTAACAATGAGCCTCTGACTTACTTCCAATCTTTGGCTATTACTAAGTATGCTTTCGAAATGTAATGGCAATATGTGTTGTCAGATTTTTCTACCTATGATTCTCTTAGAAACAATATCATGACTATCACAGGAACGTAAAGTGACAGTACTTCCCTAATTGCATCATTTCTCATGAATAAGAAGTAGACTTGTGGCGGCAGTTCTGGTGATTCATGCTTGTAAAACCTATACTCCAGAGGTTGAGATCCAGAGGAGTGCGGTTTGAGGCCAGCCCTGGGCCAAGTAAAACTCAACCAAGACTCCATTTCCAAAACAACCAGCAAATAGCAGGGCTAGAAGCATGGCTCAGGTGGTAGAGCACCACCTTAGCAAGTGCTAAGCACTAAATTCACAGTACTGAAAAGAAAGAGAAAGAGAGAAGAAAGATTTGCTAAGTCTAATGAGAAAGATGAAAACAAAATCTTAGAAGACTACTTTTTTTTTTTTTTGTCAGCCGTGGGACTTGAACTCTGGGCCTGGGCGCTGTCCCTCAGCTCTTCAGCTCAAGGCGAGCGCTCTACCACTTGAGCTACAGCGCCACTTCCGGTTTTCTGGTGGTTTTATTGGAGATAGGAGTCTCACGGTCTCTCCTGCCCGGGCTGGCTTTGAACCACGATCCTCAGATCTCAGCCTCCTGAGTAGCTAGGATTACAGGCGTGAGCCACCAGCGCCTGGCTAGAAGATTACTTTTTAATCACATGGAACAAGATGAGTTTCTGGAAGTTTCAAAATAATGGGCTATCGCTAGTTAATATTTATGCTGCCTATGACTATGAGATTTCTTCTGGGCAAATAAAATCAGTATATTCATGGGGGAAAATACAGAAAAAATGATATAAAGATAATAAGCAGGGACTGGGAAGGTGGCTCAGGGATAGAGTGCTTGCCTCACATGCAAGCATGGGTTATATTCCTCAGCACCACATAAGCAGAAAAAGCCAGAAGTAGCGCTGTGGCTCAAGTGGTAGAGCACTAGCCTTGAGCTGAAGAGCTGAGGGACAGCGTCCAGCCCCAGAGTTCAGGCCCCATGACCAACAACAAAAAAAGAAAAGATGACAAGCAGTTTTGACTGTCAGCCGTGGGTTCTGTATACTACTGAAATGCATTGCAAAATCACATTCTGGAATTTGGATGGAAATATGGTGTCTCCTACCTTCCCATCCCCTCTAACACACACACACCAGGGGCATCATTGGCCTCCCTGTAATTGGCTTCATTGACAGTTCACTAGTAAAGTCACTTGGACAACCATGGATTGAGCATGCCTGGCACCCTCAAACAATATGTACCTTATTCCACCACTCCAAAGATCTTAAGACTAGTTCCAGATGCTGATGTCTCATGCCTAGAATTGTAGCTACTTAGGAGGCTGAGATCTGAGGGTCACAGTTCAAAGCCAGCCCAGGCAAGAAAATCCATGAGACTCTTAATCTCCAATTAACTGTCAACAACAACAACAAAAAGGCAGAAGTGAAGCTGTAGAGCCGTGGCTCAAGTGGCAGAGTGATAGCCTTGAACAAAACAGCTCAGGGACAGCACCCAGGCACTGAGTAAAGCCCCAGGAAGGCAAAAAAAAAAAAAAAACTAATTGTAAAGACAATGAGACAATGAAAAAGGATTCATTGTTTTGTTTTGAGTTTTTTCCCCTTCTATTATATTCCATTAACCTTAACCATCCATCCCCTGTTCCCTTTTTCAGTGTTTGGTAGCTTTAATTATTTTACCTTTATACATAAACATGTATGTGTATGTATCACATTTTTGTTGGTCGTGGGGTCTGAATCTGGGCCTGGGCACTGTCCCTCAGCTCTTCAGCTCAAAGCTAGTACTCCACCACTTGAGCCACAGCACTACTTCTGGCTTTTTCTGCTTATGTGGTACTGAGGAATTGAACCCAGAGCCTCCTGCGTACAAAGCAAGCACTCTACCACTGAGCCACCTTCCCAGCCTGTGTGTGTCATATTTTTGTCTTCAGCTAAGGTCTCACTGTGTCACCCAAGCTGTTCTTAAACTCCTAGCCTAAAGCAACCCTCCTACTTCAGCCTCCCTTATAGCCAGGATGCTATAGCCACCATGCCTGATTAATGAAACAACTTGCAACATGCAAAATGTGGGACTTTTCATGTAATTTACTTTTACTGCTGAACATTAACTTGATTAAAATTGTGTGACCAAAAAAAAGGAGGGGGGAGAAAGAAAAAGAAATCACATAGGAGGCAGTAATATTTGAGCTGGGTCTTAAAATATGGAGAAGTTAATTTAGATGGGTAAATTGAGTATGTATATAGACCTCATGGTAAGAAGCAAGTGGAGACCAGAGGCATTTTTCAAACATAATAGGATCCTATAGTCATCTTGTATCTTAAGTAAATGTATAGGTCTGAAGGCTTACCATTGAATAATATTGTTTTCAATATTAGTAGATAAATGAAATCATAAAGCAGTTCCTACAAGAGTTAGCAATAAATCTTCATGGTACCATAAAAAAATTTCCTAAACCACTGGCATAGCAAACTAATGTATTCAAATGTGCCCATGCAGCTGGAGCAGATCCTGCCACAACAGTTGGTATAATCACAGATGGGAGGATTATAATGGGAAGTATTAAAACAAAAGGGGATAAAGCAAAACTGAATGGTCTTTAAAAAATTAGGTGGTAAATCATTCAATTTGAAATCTTGCAATTCAGAGTACAAACCAAGTGTCTATGTTTGAGAAAACTAATGGGAAGTTTAGTAGAACTCATTCATAAGGCAGTATGAAAGAACACTGCTTTTATAGTGGGAACATATTTCAGATCACAAAGTTCATTGTCAGCAGAACACTTAAGGAAATGATGACAGTACAACTTGAGGGAACTTGAGTTGTTAAATGTTATAATATTAACAATATTTTATTAATCTGGATGTTCTGCTTTTGAAGAGAAAGAAAACCTCAATCCACTTATCAACATGAATAAAAAAATGTGAAGGAAAAGATTTATTTTATAACTAAGAGATGAGGGCTATACTGCCCTCAGACAT